GCAACGTAATAGATTGTGTTTAATATAATCACCAAATCTTTAGTTTTTGGGAAGAAAAAAATGTATTAACAGATACATGAGCAGAAAATCATATCTTACAAATGATATCCAAAACAATCATAAGCAAAAATGCTACGATCCTCAGCTAAATGGCCCCGATGAAATGCTAACGCTAAAAATCTGCTGTGGCCTATTGGCAAGGTGTGGGTTTCGGACCCGGAGGGTTTCAGGTTCGAAACCCGATTCCACTGAAGATCCGTCGTGTATTGGGCCTGTTGCACGCTAAATCATACGTAAGGGTTAAATGCCCTTCCATTGGTGTGGTGAGGAAGCTTCCAGAGAGGTATGCCAGGTCATTTATCGTTCTCGTCATCTGACCGCGGTTCAAGATGAGGAGTTCCGTCCCAAGATGGTCCTCGTTGCTTGTTTCCAAACGGGGCTTTAATATAGCTAAACTGTACTGTTGCGAAAATATCCAGTTTATCTGCCTCATCTTATACGTAATATAGAATATATTTTTAAAGTTGAATTCAATGCTGCAACATCTTCGAGCTGAATCAGCGCAACAGAGTCCCAGTCAACTGGACACTTGGGTGAAAGTGGATGCTGCTGATGATTCTCGAAATCCAAAAGCCTCCGGGCTTCTGCTCATGCGACAGGCGAAGTTGATTTCACCAAAATAGTGGTGAAAATTGGAAGAAGGATGTTTATATTTTACTTAGCGTGACCTAACAAAGAACTCCGGAAATGTCCTGTCATCCCTTTCCGGAGTAAAATCGTCCAAAAGTGCTAGTCTCGGAATATTGAAACAGTCAGTAAATTGCTTTTTTTCTGGAGCGGAGCGGGGGGTGGGGGGTGAGTGAACAATGGAATAAATATAAACTTCCTTCTATTGAGCGAGCGAAGCTAGGTCCTGTTTCAACTCCACCATTCAGCATTTCGTCTGTTTGCATGTAAATTGGTTTATTATGCACTCTCGACCACGCGCGTTATTTGATTTTCTACCAATCTGTCGTGAATGTTCCTTTAAGTCATTAAAACCGTCTTACATATATAAGTATTTTTATTTTTTGATTCCGTTCCACGATGGGGTCCGTTTTCGTGGTTCCTTTTCATGTAATGTTCAGCTTTTTAAAACGATTCTTGTCAAATGCAATTTCATCCATAATGCCTCCAAAAATACCGAAAATAGCAAAAGACATTCAACTGTAATTTTGTTAATACTGAGAAAATCTGACATTTAATTTTTATTTTGAGAATATTGGCAAAAGCAGACACTTGCGTAAATAATTCGCATCAAAAATGGCTAGTTTAATTTAGATATATTAACATCCAGTTTTGAAACAACAAGAGGGTTATTCTCTATTATGGGAAGGACATCGTTTTGAAAAGTGGTCACAGTCGCCATCTCTCTCTCCTAACCTGTTTTCTTTAATCCTTTCTTGTTTCTACAGAAAAGTAAGAAATAATTAAAATGAGAAGTTTCCTACCAAAAAGTAGAAAATAATTAAAATGAAAAGCTGAAGGATGAATGCTTTTAAAAATTGTTTTATCCAATTTATTTATGTTAAGAGCTATTTTAATAAGTACAAAAAAAGCACAATTCAGGAATATACTTTGACTTTACTTTCATTAAAATAAATTATTTTATCAATATTTTTTTTAAATTTAATAAAATTCGTTTTTTTAAATATGAGCTATTTACTTATAAGTAAAATCGGAGGCATTTAATATAAAATGGAGGCAAGCCCGGGTCAAATTCGGGACTTCCCTGGCTTAACCAGGATGGCAAGCCATCTTATTCATGCCTCATATAAACATGTATGCCAGTTCAAAAAGTATTCATACAGATAGTGAGGAAAAGACTAGCAATGCATGTGATAGAAGTTACCTACATAACTAATGATAAGGTGGGTATTTGCATACTGATGCCTAATATCATAAAAAGAACATCAGATTCACGGTTATTTAATCACACTATGCATCGCTATATTAAAGAATATAGGCTCTCGAATTTCTGCTTGAGGTTCTGAAAGGGCGCCAAACTACTGTGGCCCAGGTCGCTCAAATATGGTAAAACGGCCCTGTCCGCGAATTGCTTTAATAAAAAAATTTTGATAAAAATCTAGAAATTAAAATAAAATGAATGAATTAAACCAAATAAACATACTTTCATCGTCATTCTTCAATGAATTATAAATATCCAAATTTCGGAATACAATGTCGATATCGAGGAATACACAGTGCATTTTGTAATGCAACCTAAAGTCCATTGCAGCAATTCCATAATTACTGAAAAGTAACAAGAGTTGCAATTGTCTTTATTCGCCGAATGAAGTTGCGTACCTATAATCTGAGAGAACACCATGTTCAAACCTCGATCTGTATGACGAGAACATCGCATCAAAGACTAAAGTAGCTAAACAGCCATCGCCCGGCTAGCTCAGTTCGGTAGAGCACGAGCCTCTAATCTCGTGGTCCTGGGTTCGAGCCCCACGTTGGGCGGATTCTTGTATTTTGCACTTCTCGGCTGCTAAAGAGGTGGACTCCCCGCACCAATGGCAAAACAACAACAGATCATGAATCACACCAGGAGGGTGATGAAACCTGGAAGTAGAAGAATTTGTTCTGAGCTGACCAGCAGCATTTATTTCTCATTTTTGAACCGATCTGTCGAAGTGTACCGAATAGCATACTTTAGACCACAAAAGATGTCAGAATCGCGTTGTTCATTCAGAGGAAAACCTACAAGGCTGAAAGGGGGGAAAATGCATCTTGCGTATACGGTATATCTCCCAAGAAAAGTAAGTAACACTTCAGTTTGTGTATCAAATCCAGGTCACTTTCTATTTAGGTCGAAATCAATTTCGATGGCCTTCCGCTTTAGCTTTCGTTTGTGATGGCAAACGAGTACCCATGGTGTAGTGGTTATCACATCCGCCTAACACGCGGAAGGTCCCAGGTTCGAGACCTGGTGGGTACAATTTTTATCGACGTAACATTCCTATTTTGAGATACAATCAGTTAAAACAATTTAATATCTTTTGTTGGTTTAATTGTTACTGTTATTCCGATTTTCTGATGCACGACGAACATATTTATATAATTTGTTTCAAATAGTCTCGACTTTAATACATATTATCTGAAGAATGCGACAGAATTATGAATTCGAGCCTGCTTGTTTAACTGAATATTTTTTCCTTAATTCGTGTAAGTGGATTCCTTGAAATATGCTCATAAGATTATTTTGAGTATCGCTGTTACTAATTTAGTTCAATTTCTCTTTGTATGAATGCAATATAAAACTTGGTGGTTCCTTAGTCTGATGTAAAAAGGTCAAATATTGGAAGGTAGTTCCTCCCTCCTCTTCCCCTGTCGCTGTCTGTTAAGAGTGAAATTTATTATTAAAATTATTTGCGTGTATTAATCACACGTAATAAAAAAATTTAAGTTGATTTTGTATCTTCCTCTAGATGAGATATATTTTTCCGACTCTTCCCCTACCCCCTTTTTCTGTTGGAACAAACTGCGAAATTCCAATTTTTTTAAAAATTAATCCCTTCACTAAATACTTTTTAGTTATTAGGACATGCTTATAGACATGGAGCATATTTTTAAAAATGCTTTCAATCATGCGTTTCTTTATGAAATAATCCCTTTACTTACCTAAAATAAGCGCTTCTTCTTCATATTTTGCCCCATTCGCCTGAGAAAATATTACTGAAAAATCATAATGAAAAATTTCTCAAATCTAAAAAGGATCTCAAATATAAGTTGAAGGGAAAAAAATATCTCAAATAAAAAAAAATGTTAGGAAATCTTTTTCAGTTATATCTGATTAGCAGATGTAAGTTGAATTCATTTTAAGCTGCAGTCGTTGCACATTCAGAGCAGGGAAAAAAAGGCCCATGAGGGGATCGAACCTACGACCTTCGCTTTTTTATCACGACGCTCTAACCAACTGAGTTAATGGGCCGCACGACATGCTGTGAAGAGAAGATTAGAAATCAAGTTTCGCATGTTAGGTTCGGTGAGATTGATGTTCCTTTACTATGAGATTGTGCGTATATGCAATACGGAATTGCAATGTACTGGCATAGGATCTCGCGTCTGATTTCAAACGCAAATTTACACATATGACGGCAGAGGCGGCCCGGAGTAATTTTATCAACCGGTCAAAGCACCAATATGGCTCCCCTCCCAACACACATAACCAAAGTATTTTTGTTAAAGTCTATTATGTTTGTATTCTAAATGCCAATCAAACTTTCACATAGAAATATACGTGCTTAACCTGAAAATGTGACTTAATAATGTTAGAGTGAGAATTTTTTAACTTCAGATATATTTAAGATTATATAGGTCTTATTGAAACTAGAGTAATATATTCAATAAATTTATTTTAAAAACAGTTGACTTTATTTTAAAACAGTGTTTTAATTTATGTTTAAAAAATTAATTTTTTTTTCTTGTTATCTCTAAAATGTCTTTTCAATTTCAATGCTCTACAAAAGGTCCCGTTCACTTGTTATGGTTTCTAAGCCAACTAGTCGCTCTTGGGACATGATGCCAATACTTTTTGATAAGTTTCTCTTTAGCAAAACTTCGTACATGTGTTTCCAATCATAAAATTCCGATGCTGATGCTAAGAACATTCGTACAAAATCAAAAAGGTGGTAGCAGAAACAAAAAATTACATTCACACAATTCACTTGATTCAAACAGTAACTTACTATGTTGCCGATCTAAAAATCTTCTGAAGTTGAATATCTGCTTTCATATTATGTTGACAGACTTTCCTAGGTTTAATATTTTCTATTTTGATGTATTTTTCCTCCTGTTATTTTTTTTTTTTTGCTGCTATCCGTGCTTTTCTCTTCCTATAAAGCGAATCTAATGTTTCCTTTTCTATGTTATTTTAGCGAAATAACACAATGTTTATTTTTTATAGGTTATGACGTCATCACAATTTAAATTGAGTTTGCGATTATGGGCGTAGGCGACTCTAGAATGCCTCAAAGAACTAGATATGAATTCTATTTTCGAGGTTGAAAGTTTTCGAATAATTTTCAGAGCTTTCAATTATTGTCATTCTTAGCACAACAATTGGACACAGGGCGCCAAGAAGCTCCAGGAAATTTATTTAACATTCCGATAAAATGCTGTAGAATACTGCAACAATATTTTTGCGATATTGTGCGGTATTCAAAATATAAAAACATTGTGGAGATACCTTACAATATCTTGTTATAATAAGGATACAATCCCACGAGACCACGTTTTGGGAGTAGTCTGTATGTGTGTGGAGGGGGGGGGGGCAGTGGCAAATTTTGACAATATGAGATCATACGCGAAAAGCTGTTTTTAGAACCCTGTGTCTACTCAAAGTTGTAAATTAATCGCCGGCTTAGAACTGAGATGTACGGTGATTAGATTTTGAGGTGCCCCCCCCCCAGGGGCTTGAGGCACGAAGCGAGCGCATTCAGGTCCTGTAGGAAACTCCGCCAGTGGTAGTGGGGCGTTTAGTACATATCACATGATAATAGTATTCAGAATAATAGAAGGGGTCGCCAATACTAAGGCTTTTTTTGGAGCTCTCATGTCTATTAAACCATTTTTTGTTCTCTTTCACGCTCCCTGTGTGGCGCCACCTAGGATTTTGGCGCCATGGGCAGTTACCCGGTTTACCCGGCCCTTGGGCAGCCTTTGTATGACGGTATCAACATTTCTGAAGATGACGGATAGGGAAAAAATGTTGCGACGGCCGGGAGTCAAACCCGAGCCACCCGCGTGTCAGTTGAGCCACTGAACCACGCATGCGCACCAAGCAGGGCGAATGAAATTAAAAGCCCAAAATTTCATCTCTATCTCTACTAATAGTAAAAGAGGGAGCATGTCTGTATGTTCGTCTGTCTGTTGGCGATCTACAGAGAAGACCGTTGAACCTAGATCTACCAAATTTGGTGTATGTGTTACCGGCAAAGTTTGAAATCCGGAATTCTATAGACTGCCTAGGCTTTGTATATAATGCCTAAAACTAGCCGGCAATGTGTGAAACGATTTATATTTCACACATTTCCTAGGCATTCTATAGAATGCCAGATGACAAACCGGAAAAGTATGAAATAAATCGCCGATTTGATTATATAAGAAATAAAGTTAAGTGGAATTTGAAATTAAATTATTTGCTTCCTTGATGTAATAAGTAGATTCACAACTCATTTTGTTTTGTTTAATAAGAAAGGCATAAACTTTGATATGAAAACTTTCATTTCGCTTTACGAATTTTGAATAAAATATTTGTTAATGGTACTCTTTTATTATTTTTTCTAAATAACATTTGTATTTTTGAGGAATGCACGCCTTTTAAATAATAGTCTTATTATGAACTTTTTTTCATACTTTGCCTAAATAGCATTTGTCATTCTGTAGAATTACTAGGTATTATATACAATGCCTAGGAAAAGTATATAATAAATCTCATATTTCATACTTTGCTTAAAAACGCCTGGCATTCTATAGAATGCCGGCATTTCACACATTGCCGGTAACATATGTATAATTCGGAGGGTGGGAATGTGCGCCTCAGGGCCATATTTTCTCAAATTTTAATTATTTGAAAATGAAAGCAAATTCCATCCTTTTCTACCTTTTCTTTCGAATGCATAACTTCTGAAAGAATTATCGCACTAGAATTGTTTTTACGCCATTTTAAAGAGCAAAAGACCTAAATAAGACCTAATGAAAGACTTTTAAACCTAAACAATCACTTGCTCTACATTCAACAAAAATTTATGAAAAAATGAATTTTTACTTGTTTCTTAGATGAAACAATTAAATAAAATTTGATCTATTTATAATAGGAGGATAAACTTTTGTTCTTTAAAATGAAAAATTAACTCTTTGGATTTTTGAAAGAGGAATTTGGGATTACAGTAGAATCTCCTTACAACGAAGTCTCCCTACAGCGAATTTCCCCCTATAACGAAATTTTTAATCGGAATGTTAAAAAACATTCAAAATATTCTTCATATAACGAAGTGGTTGTCTCCCTGTAACGAATTTTTTAAGACGTTTATCTTTTCGATTTTTGTCATTTTTGAAGAAAGTTGCTAATTTTTGTGGAAACAAATCGCTCACACGTGCAACCACTCACATTGTTCATTCCAGCGATAACATCTCCCTACAAAAACGCTAGCTTTTAAAGGAGACAAATGTTTCGGAGGAAAGAAAAACAAACAAAGATTTGCAATTTTGTTAGGTGCCAACATGACTGGCAAGGAAAAGTTAAAGATGCTTGTTTTTGGAAAAAGTAAATCTCCAAAGTGCTTCAAAGGAATAAAATCTTTAGAAGTTAAATACGAATTCAACGAAAAATCGTGGATGACGTCTGAAATTTTTGACAGATGGTTGAAAGCACTGGACAAGCAAATGGGACAACAACACCGTAAAATCGCGTAATTAATCGACAATTATCCAATTCATTCAAAAGATTGTGGAGAAAAGCTAAAAAATGTTAGTGTCATTTTCTTTCCTCCTAACTGCACAAAAATTTGCAGCCCCTGGATCTCGGAATAATTAAAAATTTAAAAATGCACTATAGGAAAAGAATCTTGAAAGAAATGATCAGTACAATTGAAAAAAATGAAACAGTTCAAGAAAACATCGATCTTCGAATTAGCAATTGCAGAACTTTATAAAGTATGGAAATTTGATGCAACTGCTAAAACAATCCGTAATTGCTTTAAAAAAGGAGGTTTCAGTAATCAGACAGATGACAGTGATTCCGACGATGAAGATGCGATCTTGGCCGACTTGAAAGAAAAATGGAAAACAGTAGAAGGGAATGAAAGAATAACAGATGATGCAACTCTCTCTGACATTTTAGAAGTGGACGTAGAACTGTTTACTGCTTCATATCCTACAGATGAAGAGATTTTGAAAAGTTTAATGGACAACAATATAAAGGCCAGGAAAATGACAGTTATTCAGAAAATGAAGATGTGATACAGCCAAACTCACATAGGACTGAAATGCTACAATCATTCGAAACCATTAAAAGAGGTTTCCAAATGGAAGAGAATGTGGCGAACTCTATTTTTAGCTTACTCATAAAATGTGAAAATTTTTGTGAAAATTTAACATTACGAAATGCAAAGCAATGTAAAATAACGGAATTTTTCAAGTAAAATAAACGTAAAGAACGCAGTAGTTTCAAGTAAAATAAACGTACTAGTACATATTATTCTCTAAATTGGTGAATTGTCTTCACTTTTGAGCATTTTATTTATACAATAAAAATTAGTATAATTTTAACAAATTTATAATATATATTACTTCATTTTTAATTGAAAGTCATAATTAAATGCTTTTGAACTTATCACACCTAATAAAAAGTTTGTAACATTTACTGAAATAAATGCAAAAATCTATAATCTCCGTATAACGAAATTTTACCTATAGCGAATTTTTCACCTGGAACCAAGCGATTTCGTTATAGGAAGACTCTACTGTATTTCTAAATTTCTTTTCACTGTTTTTTTTAACAGTCTAAGTGGAATTAAAATAGTGCATGATGAATGCTGAACGCTTGTAGATACTGTAACTGTAAACATAGCTTTTTGAATATCTCTATTAGTAATTTTCTGCCATAAATCCATTATAAATCCGAAAATTAAATTCGAGCTTAACTCCACCCCGATATAAGGTATAAGGTGAAAACGACAGGAAAAGTGGCTCCATCCAGCACAAAAATCCACTTTTAATTGGGACTGGTAGCCGACTTCAGCATTAAGCAGGCCATTCATGTCTAATCCAAACGGAAATTTTGGATCACGGGAAAGAAAAAACAATCGTCAAAGTCGAAAACCTATGTAAAATAGCATAGCGGCGCGGGAAATTCCAACCGAATCGAATTCCAGCACTTCTTGCGCCGATTCTACGGTGGGACCCTGATACGAGGGTAGCGGCACATCA